TGTAAGTTCTCTCATTAATTATTAATTAAATTTGGAGCAATATATGCAGCTGTAGCCTTTGAGATTCTAAATAGAAAAACTTTGAAAATAAATAGTAGTAAAAGTTATTTATTCATGACAATATTAATTGTTGGTACTCGTTAATAGTACACTTGTTAACGACACTAGCAATAATTATTGTTGAATACTTGAAAGTCCTTTTATAAATTATTAATTAAACTTGGAGCAATGTAGGCAGCTGTACCCTCTGAGATTTTGAATATGAGAACTTTGAAAATGAATAGAACTAAAAGTTATTTATTTATGATGATATTGATTGTTAGCACTTGTCAACAATATACTTGTTAACAATACTGGTAATTATAGAAAATGTCTATCTAAGTCGATATCTATTTATTCTAGCCTGTGGATTAATGATTGTTCATTTAATTTTATTTTTCTTATTACTTTTGAGTTTTGAGGCACCCTAAATATCAAGCTTTATCGCTATGCTGCCATCTTTTGGTGGTTGCAGTATGTGGTAAAACAGAACTTTACCGACTGGTTGTATAAAAATTATTTTTCGCCCCTAAAAAGTATTTTTTTCGAGACGGCACTGGTCTGTTAAGTGTCATGGCTGTTCAACATTTATATTCAACTCGCTACTTTTTTACAGTTTTGTGAATTTATTTTTAATTGTATCAACGTTAATTTGTTATCGAAATGTAGTGTTTGACAGCATCGATCGATTAATCATTCCCTTTTTTGAGATTAATAGGTATTTATCTCATAAAAAGTGTTGATATGTGAAAACCGTCGACGTGATGTTAATTTATATTTTTAGTGAAATATAATTTATCCCGCATTTTGCCTTGTGATGAGTTGTTTTAAATTATCAAATAAATATTTAGCTTTTAAATTCATGCATTCTTTTTATTATTTGTTCATTCCTCGATTTTTAAACTAATTTTAAATTAATTATTCTACATTAAAAAAGAAATCTTTTTCAGTCTGTAATTGCTCTTATGGCATAAGGAAAGTATTATAAATTATTGATTCAATTTATAATTAATCTATTATATTGTATTAAAATACAATAGAAATATGGTTTTTAAAATCAGAGATAAATGCAATTTCATTTAATAATATAAATGTATATTTTATAATAAATTTGTACATTGAAGTCACTTATCAAGTGACTGAGATACAAAACAGATTTATCATTACAATTTTCCGAGTTTTTATAACAATATATCACCAAGTAGCACACGGAACAGATTTAACAGCTAATTTAGTGTTTAATTTACCATAATTACTTTTATATCTTTTCCATCTTCTATTAGAGTTACCATTGTTTTATTATCAGTACAATAATATTGTTAATTCGATACATAACGAGGTAGTTAATAAGCTTAGTTGATTCATAAAAAAATGTACAAAAAAATAAATCCAAGCAAATATAGAACACCAAAATGCTTATTGCATCGTAAATTAATTTCTTACGGAAAATAAGAACAATGTTTCTCTAATGTTAATCCTTAAATTCAAATGGACGGCTCATCAGAATACGTTTTATTTATATTTAATGATTACTAATTATTTAATATCATTAACCTAATTTCTGTCGTTTCTAATAAACGATAAAAAATCAGTCTGTTAAAATTATTTGATTTTTCAGTAAATTTTGGTGGATTAAAATACAACAACTTTGATAAAATTTGATGATAAAATTAACCAATTCAAAATATTCTCGAGATTCATACATGATTGATAAATAACATGTCAGAACAAATAATTTTTTCTGTTTAATAAATCCAATTAACAGGTACCCATTGATGTTCAGTAGCAAGAGCATCTAATGCTGCTACAACTTGTCTGAATGTATCGTCAAAATCTTCATTTACTATTACCATGTCAATGTATTTTTCATAAGCTCGTTGTAAAGCTGCGGACTCTTCTAAAGTTGATCGTAAATCATCTTCCAATACAATGATAGCCATGCCAAGTCTTTGGAGTACCAAATAAATTGCAATGAAAATCACGAAACTTTTTTTCATGTGATTATTTTTTATATGATTAAATTTTTAATGTAATCTACACTAAATTTTTTTTTTTTTCTAGTTTATTCTCTATTTTTCTGATTATTAAAAATTATCTTTGATTTTTGTAGAAAAAATACAATTCAAATTTAAATACAATGAATTTATCTGACTTCGATAAAAATAATTGATTTTTTCAAATGCAATACTTGGCGTATGATTATTTCACGACTTTTTGTGATTATTTAAATTATTTATATTTATGATGATAGCATTTAAAGAACAAAAATTATCGTCCTCATCATTTAAACTTGGTGCGCAATTTTTTACAGTCCGTGGGGCTGTTTTTGGTATGATTCACTGTAATAAACAAGCACAAGATTTCAAACACAATTTTTATTTCAAAATTGTAAATTTTTTTTACCGTATGTTGATATTATCGACAATCCGTCATGCCGGTATTTTTTATAGTTAATGCTTCCTCCACTAGGACTGATTTGATAAAAATACGAAATTTTGAATTTCAAAACTTGATTTTTGATCATTTATTATTTTTTCTTCTCATATTCTTTCAAATTTCTTAGTACTATAGTATTTATCGTGAATATTTCTATTTAATAGAATCTAGACAAGAGTAGAAGGTTTTCCAAGAAATTTATTCTGCTCTTGTCTATAAATTATGTAATTTATTGACATGTTAGTGACTTTGATTATTTTTTAACCACGCTCTGTGTTTCGTTTCTTTCACTTTTCATAAAATCTAGTTTAATTTTAGAAATGTGCTGATTAATGAATTTAGAAATCAGCTATTTGAAATACATCTACTATAAATGGATAAAATTACAGTTTAATTTTAGAAATATTACAAATTAATTATGAATTATTGACTTTTTAATAATAGTAAATACCGTACGTAATATTTTAAATATTAAATATTTAATTACAAAAAAAAAAAATTATGCAAATATTACACTTTTAAGTGAGAGTTTCTAATTGTAAGTCTTAAGAAGAACAAAAATAAGTGCGTGAAAGTTTATTATTATACTCTCAACGGTACCTAAAAGCTTTTTTTTTTTATTTTAGCACCACGAAAGATGTTCATAAGTAAACAATCAGCTTGAGCAAACACACGCGGTTGCTTCCGCTGAATGTGCGTGTGGTTGATATACACACGTATGGTTTTTACACTCAAGCGACTTTTCGGTAGCGAGTCGATCCGGTCCAGCGGGGACAAATGTAAACTGCTAGGTCAAGTATAACCGGTCCCTCACTATCGTTCTTTCTCCCTTTACAACAGAGTAAAGCTTCTTATATACATGTATGTATGCGAAGCAATCTTTTAATCCTCTTGGTGGGTGTATATCAATTATTTATCAATTATCAATCGACTAATTAAAAAATTTTTTTCTTATTAATTAATTCACATAATTTAAGCTGATTAATAGAGAATATACATTCAGGCTGGTGATGATCAAACGGCTACAGATGGATTTCAAAGGAGAGGAAACGTGAAAGGAGATGAGAGTATAGAAGTCCAAGGCTCAGCGAGATATAACTGTCTATATGAAAGGCTCTCGTGATAGGAATTTGCCCGGAGGGCTCGCGAGCGTTCGCTGCAGACTCTGTGGCACCTGACCGACGTGGGTTTGAGGCACAGGAAGCCAAGGCGATCGCGTAGATATCACATTCTCTGCTGTCTCTCTCTCAAGAGATTGGTTTTAATACTTCTTTTTCTGTCCTTCATCTCCAAGTTCTTCAGACTGTCCAGAAGATATACACCCGACTTGTTGGTTGGGAATTCGCCTCCGGTGCCATTACCGCCCTCTTATCCCTTCTTCAGCTACCACTGTATTATAGCCCACCCGCTCTTTATCTCTTCAACTTCACCACCACCACCACTACCACCTTTTGATGATGATGATCATGGTCCAGCTGCAGGTTATGTCCCCGTAAATAATTCATACTTGATCCATGTCTTGCACTTTTGTTTATTATTCTTCTTTATTGTAAGCTCCAATAGCTGGTAATCGCACGCGTTAAACACGTGCAAGAAAAAGGACAAAAGAAGAAAAACAACATGTTGATGTACCAAGACAACTAAACAACTTTCTGTCTTTCTTTAACAAGTTTCATTCGATTGAGCTCGCAACACCAATGATACAGGGCTGTATGTTTTATGTTAATGTATTTTATAATAAAATAGAAAGGGGTTTGGTAATTATGTTTGTTATATAAATATTTATTGATTTATCGAGTGATGATTTAATATATACCTGGCTAAAGGTTGGTAGCAACTTGTTGTTATTATCGACTTGTCTCATTATCCAATAACAATACCACTGATTTGGAGTAGCTACTACTGATGTTGATGTTGTTATTGTTATTTACGTGAATTCTACATCTCGAAAGTTCGTTGATGAACTGCAGACTGGAGGACTACTCTTGTCCAGTCGCCATCGCAAGACAGTCGTTCACCAGCCCTGATCCATTCGAGTCACTTAGATCTCAACTCTGTACCGCCTACTTCTTCAACAGGGGCGGGTCCTATCTCTATGACGCAGGAACGTATTATATTCCCTTAAACTTTTCTGTCATCTTTAATTTCATTCAGATCTCTTCCACATTTTTACCTTTGAAAAAAAAAAACAGTCATTGGTGAATGAGAAAAATTTTGTGACGCAAAAATACTTGGAAGATAAATCATAAGTAAATTACGTCTAAGCCTTACTGATTGTAATCTCGAAATCTCCGCGAAGAAACAAAAATCCTCAAGACCTCCTGCTGGGAAGGTTGGTATTTTTCAAGTCGTAGAAACTATTCCACTTCATAGAAGTATCTCATGTATTTCCTTTTTTTATTTTTACACGCGAATGAATCTTCATGGGTTGTCCGGTAGAATCAGGGCTCTTCTTATCTCCAGTTACGTACCTGGGAGGCGGTGGTGAGGCTGACGACGACAGAGGAGAGCTGAGAAGTGTGTATGGGCAGCGATCGGGCCAGACAAACAGACTCGCGCGCGCTCATTGCGGTCCCGTGTGGCGTATTGCCATATCCCTTGTGTACTGTGGCGCATTGATTACTCCAATAAGTGTCATTTAAATTTCGCGCTATTGTCTTATCATCAGGATTATTCAGAAAGCAACAGTTATCAGTATTCAACTGTCATTCCCCGTAGTTGGTCCAAGTGTTGTTAATTACTTGGTGAAGGCGGTGATTCCCAGTGACATCTGAGTTAGTTTTGTTATCGACGTGGACACGACGGGGTCAGCGGAAGCCGAGGAAGAAGAGGAGGAGGACTTGATCCACCCTACTGCGGTGAAAGTGTCCTCGTGAAATGATTTGTGATCAAGTGTATCATCCAGATAGGAACAGGGGCTTTTGCCTCTCCAATATATGTTTCTTGTTTTTATTATTGTTGGTCTTGGTCATTTCTCAACGTGTGGCCCCGGTTTCTTCCTCGCGACTCAGCGGACTTTATGTGGACAATGGCTTCGATCAAACAGTTGTTCATCGTGTCTTGACGCAACGAGAGAAACGCGATGTCGAGCATGAAATCCTTAATCTTCTTGGTCTGCCGGACAGACCGCGAAGTGTTATGGGCAAAACTCCACAGGTCAAAAGGTCGGCGCCAAAGTTTCTTCTCGATATCTACAAAAACGCGCTGGGTGAGGACGAAGGGAAACCGGTCGCACCGAGGCTACACCACAACGGGGAGTTCGACCTCACTGGTCAGGATCTCAGGGCCATCGACCAGAGCGATGTCATCATGACGTTCGCCGCACACAGTGAGTTGCACTTCCTTCACTTTCTTTCAATCACAATCAGTTATTTTGTTGCATTCAAATTTCTCGCGCCTTGTTTACATTAAATCACATCTTATTAATCCATTTAAAACTTTTTCTTAAAAATAATTTGTAATTTCGCCACAAATTTGAAAGTTTTTGATAAGAAAACACTTGAGTTTTTGATTGCTGGAAATCTTTTAATGTTTATAAATAGAAAGAATTATTAAAAACACTCTTGACACTTAATATATAATAATAGACGATTGAAAAATAATTATTCACTCTTCGGACTAGATGGTTTTCATAAGTAAATTGAGGTCTATAATTTATTGCTCGTAAAAAATAAAATGAAAGAAGTGTTTACTTCACGAAGATGCTTCATCTATCTATTGCGGTATGTGGCTTTTTAAGTGATTTAAATTCATATGCCATATACATATTTGCATCCATGAACATAAGTTCAAAGATCATTTGAATAAAATAGAAGTCATTATCATAATTAAGTAACATTATTTTTATAAATCTGAATAACAACTATCTACTTTTGTTAGTTAAATAAATCCCACTGACTCAACTTTATCATATTTTCATAAACGATTAAATTTTTAACAAGATAAAAGTTGTCAGCATAAATAATATTTGTCAATAATAAAAACAAAAAAAAGCCTAACATGAAAATGAAAGATTGTGAAATATCGTCGCACGTGGATATGGCAATAAATTTATCAGCAATAACCATAATTCATTTGTTTCGTGTCCTCCTCTTGCAGAAGTTCACCTATGGAGCACCTAAACTTGGTTGAAACTCGTGTATAAATCAAACCCATTATGAGAAAGATAAATAAAATAATTTATTATACTATTTAATAATTCAAAAAAGTCAAAAAATGGCGGACAAAATAAAAAGGGATAAGAGAAAGTTGATGACTCAATCTATTATAAATTCGGTGGTTTCCTCTACAATTCATTATATTTAAAGATCCGGAAATTCTTGATCGACAGGCGTTTGATATCGATCTTGCGGTCTTTTTCGTTCACCGAAATGGAGCTATTTCAACGTGGGGGCCCTGGACGATAAGTACGTCGGCGCTTTTATAAGATACTCAACGTCTTGGTCCTCATATATTATCCATTTCTAAGATAGCAGTTCGGTAAAGAGCGAGGGAGGTAAAAGAATCAAAAAAGGATTGAAAAAATAGTGAAAAAGATACAGGAGGTGAAAAAAGAGGCGGCAGTATTGGAGGAGGAGAAGGAGGAAATGAGAATAAAACAAGTCAATATCTTTCCCTTAATGCTGCTAGCGGCAGGTAAAAATGTCTCAACTTGGCTCATGGTTGTGTTTTTTCTTAATTTTTTTATCCGCTTTTTCACTTCTTTAGCTGAGGAACCATGCTGCAGGAGGAAGGAGTATAATTCGTGAGAGAGAAGGAATATGTAAGAAACAAAAAATCTTTTAGAGGTCCAGGAACGGTCCCGGGGGCCAAACTATTCGGACCACCCTGAGTGCCTGAGACGAGAGAGCTCGCTCTTAGCAATCAGGTGCCTCTGGAAGAATGCGACCGTGAGCTAAAGAGTGGAGGGAATAAGAAACAAAACAAATTTTTATGCCCTTATCCAAGCTGGAAACATTAGGCATTACTTAGGCACCCGGGGGAGTCCGGTTCGGGGCGGCTTCGACTGTGAAACAGAGGATGGGAACGAGTGAGCCTCCGATGATTTCACGCTGCGAATCCTCCACAGCTTGTTATGTGATTAGGGACTTTTAGAATCTGACCTGATATATACTGGCCATTTGCTTTTTTATTCTACTTACTCGTTTTTTATTCTCAATCCTTTTTTTAACCCTTCTTCTTGGCCTACCTACTCTTTGTGTGACTTATTAATTTGATTGACCGTGTAAATCATTGTTGAATCTAGCCAGAGCTGTGTATTATTTCTTTACAAGTCGTTAGCTCGATTGAGCTTTATCTTATTGCTGAATGAATTGAGTTGTGAAACAGAGAATTGCATACAAGTGATTGTGCAAGGTATATACATGAATCAAAATACTGTTTCAAGAAATTGTTCTATGATTTATTTATGTTGATCAATAGGGTTTTGAAATTATCTATATTATATGCAAACAATTCATATTATTATGTACACTTTCACATATTATAACAAATTGTCATTGTAATACATTCATTCCGTCAGCAGCTTAATTGTCCATGACGAAAAATCATAAATAACTGCAAGAGGTGTTATCTTAAATAATTATTATCTATTTTGCATTTTATTTTTAACATGACACCCACCTGTTTTTATGCTAACAGATTGATAACAAATCATTGTAATCACACTTTCATTTAATTTACCAAACACCCAGCAAAAATTATCTCATTTTTTACAATATTTCAACTTGAGCCACACGTTTTACATCAAATGACTGAACAATTATGTTTCTTCTTCCATGAAAATCTGTTTGTTAATTATTCATGTTAATTATTGTTATTAGAGCAAAAATTCGTTCCAATTGTCCTTGTTGACTTAGTTTTTACCTGCAATGTTTTGGTAGGATAGGATGTAATTAATGTGAGGGCGGGCAAAGTCTTTTATTAATTTATCTATATTTATTTGACAACAAAGCCTCTGTCTTTACTCAATAAAGTAATTATGTTGAATGAGGTGGATTTAGTTAATAGTATTTATTTAACTCAGAGTATAATAGATACCTTGTTGTCTGATTTGCAGATCATCACATTCCCGGAGTGCGGCACGAGCGTGGCAAAAGGCTGTGGTTCGACGTGTCTGAGGTGCCACCCGGTGAGCACATAATAGGCGCCGAGCTACGACTCTATCGGAGCATGGCGATTAAGCACAGTAGAAATCGTGGGTCATTTATGATCACAACATATAGAGTTTTGCGAGCACCAGATGGGTAAGTTTATTGCTCCATATTTTTTTTCATCCATTTTAATCAATTGTATCTAAGGAATTGATTTTTTCACATTTTTTAGATGTGACCTTTTTTTTTTAAATACCAAAGTTAGTTTTTGAAAAGTACTTTAAACAATATAATTAATGGTTTCTTAAGTTTTTTTTAAAACAACTTTTTCTGCAACTCATTCATCAGCTGCCTTCTCTTTCATTAGAATCCACGAAAGATTGGAAAATCCCAGAACTAAACTATGCCATACTCTTTAAAAGATTGTGTATAAAATATCAAAACAACATTCTCAATTTAGACGTTTCCGTTCTTGAAACGATTGTTTACTGCAAAGTTTATTTTTAGATGCTGAAAGTCTCAATTACCACGCACTTCATTCTTCATTTGCTTTTAATTTATTCCACAATGATTATTATGTTTTACTAATGCTTGAGGATATCCAAAGAGTAACTTATTGAGAATCTATTGTTTTAAAATTTTTGGATGTTGAAAACTAACATGCTTGAACCACCCATGAAGAAACTCTCTCTTCAGAGCCCTCAACCAATTCTCGTGTCTGACTACCAGGAATTAGCCATGATTTTAACATCGTCCTCGTGTCCCTAATTAGACGGTCCTCGGATGCTGAAAAAAACCTTCAAATATCTACCTGAAAAATTTTGGATCGTGAAAGTATCTCCAAGGTTTTTTTCAATTGACAATCTGTCATTAAATAGTAAATAAGAAATCAAAAATTTCTTAATACACATCCCCACCCAGTCTAGCTGGATCATACATTTCAAATAAAAAAGAAATATTCTTCAACAATATTAACTATTCAAATATGTAGCAGTTATACATCAACTTATAAAAAAAAACTAAATAAAAATTATTTGATGATTTGTAGAAGTTGAACATAATAGTAGCTGTTGAATCTTGAGAAAAAATAACAAAAATTTAATATAAGAGTTAAAGAACCTTGCCCTTCACCTTGATACTTCGATAAATTTCATTTATTTGGAGCAGAAAAAACGAGACTGTCTCATGTAAGCTACACCGGAAACTCTATTCCGCAAATTGAGATAAATTAGCCAAGTAGACGTCGGCTAAGTTTTTGAGATGCCACAAGCATTATTTTATTTGGCCTACGCAGTTAACAGACATACATCTTTCCCTCTCTCTACCGTCTTTTATGTAAGAGACTAGACTTTTTATTTATCCTCCTCTTACTTTTTAAGTATCAACTCATCTATCGATTTCTTATGTCCAAACGAGACAAGTCGGCGTCGTAGAATTTCTTCAGGAACATGTAATCTCAGATTCTAATCATCTTCTTCTTCTTTCGTCTTTTTAATGTGTCGATAACATGTTGGGATTTTTACTAATTGTTTTAAAATATTTGTTCTCATAATTTAGATGGAAAAAAAATTTTCAAGGGAATTATTTTTACATTCTTTTAACTGAGAACAAGCTTTTTTTGGGTCTTTTATTGAAGAAATAATTTATTAACGATAAAATAACTCTCTTTTAATTTTTATTGGTTGTTGTTTTGATATTAAAAAAATAAATTATCAATAATGTATAGCTTGATCAGATATTAAAAATATTTATTAAGTTTGAAAAAAAAATTTTTTAATAAGTTCCATTTGTCATTACATCATTTAAATTATTTATTGAAAATATTTATTTATTCAAATCTTTGGTTAGCTTTTAGAAGTATTTAAAACATCATAATGATGTGTATTATTATAAAGATGAACATAATGGAATAGTTGAAATTTTCTTGATACGTTGTGTAAGCTACAGAAATAAAAATTAAACACTTACAGCTTTTGTTCATAAATTACCTTATTAAAATCTAGTTATTCTATAAAAAAAACTTGAATAAATACTGATTTATATTCAAATGGTTATTTTTTCAGGACTAAAGAGCTGCAATACATCGATTCAGTCAACACGACTACTGGAAAGGAAGGATGGCTGACCCTAAATGTCAGTGAAGCACTCCAACACTGGGTAAATAATCCAGAAGGAAATCGAGGACTTTATCTTTCAGTTCATCCTGCTGATCGGTCTGGTGAGATATTGAATATCATTCAGCAAAAATATTTTCTTTTCATTAAAAAATGCTTGGTATTTCCTCATTGAATTATCAATGATTCATTCAGCTGTAGGTGATGAAAACCTATTAGCATTTTTCTTTATTATTATTTTGCAAATATTTTTCAACGCTTCTGAAGTCATACGATGACATGTTAAGTGAACAAAAAATACTTATTGAATATAATCTAGTAAAAAAAGGTAACAAAAAATAAAGAAGTGATCAGTGGAATCAATTAAGTGCAATTGAGTAACTTGAGTAAAAACTTGCTTTTTTGTTTGATTATTAATTTTGGTATTAGTACATTATATTTAAAGGATCAAATCCATTGACTTTTTGAGAAAAAATATAATTGATTTATTAAATTAATTGATGTCATTGAAGAACTTTTTCATCACCAGCTCCGTAGTAATTACATTGGTACTTTAGTGGACTTGATATTTTATCCTTTTACTTTTTTATTTAATCTCATTTTAAAACACCTGTGCTATTCCTAGATCATTTCTTTTTTTTAAACTATACTTTTTAATAGTTTGGATAAATTCTACAAACAAATATTTGATTAAATAATTTCCATGATTAAATAAAAATTAATTATGATTGGTATATTGAATGTTAATGAAATAAAATTTCTCAAAAAAGATTCTTTCATCAATCTACAAACCTATTTTTTCTGGAAATGATAGTTAATTTGATTGGTGAGTTCCTCAATTATTTGATGAATATAAAGATAATTGAAGTAGATGAAGGGGAAGTTTACAGATGACACGATAAAGCTAAAGTGAATTGAATTCCGCCACCGAATCTCAGATGAGATAGCGAGTTAATATAAGGCAAGCTCTTGGTAGATGAGGAAGAAGCTTGGGGCTTGACGATACGATCCACCATCGGATAAGGAAAGTGGATACACCTGTCGACCGTCCTCGAGTCGGTTTATTACGGCGCAATGCCATGATCTTCCTTCAGTTGTTTATATCTCACTGGTTACTTTGAATCCTGTCACACAAGTTGTAGCCTTAAGCTATTTTTATTGTCTTGATCGTCAATCATTGACCTTAAAGAGTTCTCTGATTATTATTTCTTCTGTTCATTTTTTTCTCTGTATTTTATAAATGGAATCAAGTAACCATAGCTTACATGAGAATCAATTTGCCACACCTAGATAATTTTGTTGTTCCTCCGCTCGTTTCTCCCATCGATCTCTCCTTTCTGTCTTTCTCACGTCCTCCTGGTTACCTCTTGCGACTTGCCTCGCTTCTGACTATCCACACCCCTCCAGGTGCCTCCCAATAACCGGTTTACCTTTGATCATTCAATATAACGAGACATCGGTGAGCCATATTCGAGTACATATTATATGCGTACGCGTGCTAATGCGGAATGCTAGGATAATCATTATTTTCACCTAGATCTAACTGTGCATGCGTGATTTTCATTTTCTAATCACAGCCTCATGTAAAATTCCAATATTATATCGAAAAAAATTGGTCTAAACCCGTCAATTATTTCATTATCTCATTTTTATGAGCAATTACTCACCTCCACACTTGTATCAACCATTTATCAATAATCAATTTAATTATTCAAATAAAATAAAATTATAATGCAATTTTGATTAAATTATAACAGTAAAATAATGGTGTGTTTTAAGTATAATTACATTTAATTCGATATCTTGTTGAATTGTTACAATGTAAGATAAAAATTGAAGCTGAAACAATTTTTTGGTTGGTAATAAAGAAATAATGATGGTGATTATTATAATAATCATTATGATTATTGAATAATGAAGAAATTAACTGGACCTCCACGGAAATTCTTGCAGTCCTCGTTCCCAACTACTTTCGAAAGCAATCCTGTTTCTTCGAGAGTTATCCAAGACTTGTTTAAACCTCTCTGATCGCCACCCACGCTTATAGAAACAACCGTGAATTTTCTCACGACACCATCGACCACATGATCGATTCTATTTTTATATCTGAATTTTAATTAAACATTGATTGAGCTTGTGTCTAATGTGTGTCGAGCAATGTAATCAGGTGTCTGCAATCATGGCAAATGCACATTCCATACCCCGTCCAATTTACCAGCTTTCACGAAGTCGACTACTTCTGTTATAGCCTTAGAATCATTTGAATATGCTGGTTAATATGTGCAGCTTGAAAGAGATACTTTAATCTCACTGTACATAATCCTACTGATGCTTAAAGGAATGTCGTTACTTGGATATGTGAATTTTTTCACTTGGTTTTACTTATTTTCATCCTCTTATAATATACACCCTGGCATTTACCCAGCCCATTCGTTAGCCTTTTTGCTGTCTTTCATGTTCCTTAGTGGATTGAGCGTCATGAGATGCAAGAAGATGAATTTTTTTCTCACTATAATGACCAAACATTGACCTTAGAAAATTTTTATTAGTAAAAAAAAAATAATAAATCATAATGATAAGGCAGACTCACGAATTTAAACGTCAAAATTAGGGTTCAAATTATTTAATTTTCTAACAGCTAAATTAGTGGACTTCATCGCATCTTTTTTTACTTTATTATTTTTTCAATTACGCGTGAAATTATCTGAAAATACTGAAATTAAGAAAACATTAACTCATCATAAAAAAATAATAATTTTGCAAATAAAATTTTTTTTAAATATTTGCAAAGCTATTTTAAAAAATAAATTTAATATTGAATTAATTGTCGAAAAACTTTGAAATTCTTTTTCAAATAATAATTTAAAAACATACATTATCATTAAAATTAATTGTTACTTTCAGTAAATGTTCTTTTTTATATAATTAATCAAACTATCAATAAGAAGGGTTTTTTTAAAAAATAGCCAACTAATGAGTCGATAATAGTTGAACAAATAGATTTAGAATAGCAAAAAATGATCTAATAATAATTGACTGCTGAACATTATACAAATGTAAATATAATTGACTTATAAATCTGAAAATTATAGAGAGGATTCGACGAAGTGAACGGCTTTAACAACGTTGCCAGCCCGAGAGGGTGTCGAGAGTCCTTAATAGTTGATATTCATGAAGGTTGACTATTAATAAACGCGCACGTGACGGTTCGTATAGCCGTTCTAATGAAATGTTCTGAGCTTCAAGATTGTAATTACTGTGCGATCTGCATGATCATAAGAAAGCTAATCTTTCCTAGAGTGTACATTATTATATTAATATTATTTTAAGAGGAAGAAGATAAAAAAAAAGAATGATCCGTGCCTTAATTTGACTTAATTATTTGATTACAGTGCATGAAATGAGACCGGAAGACGTTGGTATCGTTGGATTCCGTGGAGATGCCGACAAGCAACCGTTCATGGTTGGATTCTTCAAAAGCTCCGGAATCCGCGAGAAAAAAGTTCGACAGAAACGTGATGCCAGAAGGCGAAGAAAAAGTGAATCTTCTACTTTGGACTATCGAAATCCGTACACTGGTAATGATTAAATGTCAACATTAATCACTATTTAATTATTTATAGCTTGCAACATTAATAACTGTTAATTAACGTTTTTTTTTTTAGATCCAGCAATTCAATACAATTCTCGAACATGCAAAATTCAAACTCTCTACGTCAGTTTTCGAGATCTCCAGTGGCAGGTGAGAATGCTAATGAATTTTTTAACTTAGATTTTTTACTCATCATCAACTGACATTTAATTCGAACCATGTGGATTATCATAAACATTAATTTTCTTAGGATTGGATCATAGCGCCGGATGGCTATGATGCTTATTATTGCAGCGGTGAATGTAATTTCCCGTTGAACGCTCATATGAATGCAACGAATCATGCCATCGTTCAGACACTTGTGCACTTGGTAAGTCCAGGCAAGGTGCCGAAGCCGTGCTGTGCACCTACCAAACTCTCACCCATCTCCGTGCTCTACTTTACTGACGAAAGCAACGTTATTCTCAAGAGGTATAAGAATATGGTCGTTAAAAGCTGTGGTTGTCATTAGGACTATACATTATTATATTTATATTAATAACGAAGGTCAAGTAAATTAGTATAAAAATGGAAAAATACTTTCACATTGGATGAAACATTTGGAATATTTATGAGTCTCTATTACAACATGTATGGATTATTATTGATGGATAAAAAAAATTGATGTGACGTTAATGAAGTTTCTACTTGATGTCTTAATCAATAACAATATGTGAAAATGGAAAAATTACTGGTTGTCAAGTGTGTAATATTTATTGGACTTAACTATTGATATTTTCCAATTTTCTCAAACATATTATGCTAATTGACTATAATTGATTGTTAAAACAATCGAAAAAAAATTATTAAAAATTTATTTATTATAAAAATAAACTCTTGCCATCTAGGATTAAAAATGCTACGAACAAGATGTTAAAATCATCATATATTATAAAAAAAATCAATTTATCTCGTGAGAATGATTTTTAAAGAATAAAAAAATAAGCTGAATGACAACAATACAATGCAAGAAATAGATTTTAAGTGTTAATTAAGATTTGTTATTGATAATTATTAATCAATTAAAAGTTGGTATAGAAACATATACGTACGGAATAATATTTTTATTTGTAAAACTGATGAATGCTGTATAAATTAAGAAATAAGTGATAATTCTAGATATGTTAAGAAAATATTCATTAACAAAATTTTTTATTCGTACTGTAAATAATGTACTGTAAATACGTTTTGATGACGTAAAATAAATCATTTTTTCAATCTGAGAATTCTTTTCGCCTATGAATATGTATGTATTATAAATATTCAAATCCCACTATTTTATTTATTAACGATTAATTAATTAAAATAATTTTTCTAGAAAAAGATAATTTTATTGGTATTTTGATTTGAAATTTGATTCTTATCAAGACTTAACATACAACGCCACCTAGGATTGATACTTGAAATAAAAAAGGTTCACAAGTACCCCACTGATTGCATAGAGGGAAACCTAATCCAGCTTGACGACGTCGCGAAGTGAGTCACGAGTTTTTTAACATTATTTTCGATAAATCGATCCTTTGTCGTCGATTAGTATCTCGCCATCGACAAGATCGTTTTTCTCCACGATGGTCGGCGAATGTGCCGTGGATATGGAGTTTTTGCAAGACTCCTAGTTTTTCGCGTTGACAATAGACCTAAATTTCATGTATGTATCGTGATAATGTGCTATTAAAATAGAAAAACAATCCTACATGAATAATAACACAATTTCTCAACAATCTTGTTTAGTGTGGTGACAATAATAGTGTTTGAATGTATGAATTCATTATTATCAAAGTGTGCTGTTTCTCCAAAGAGTGTTTAATTGCTGTGGCTGTCAATTGTAGGATGCTTTGAATCATTTCATGTTTGTTTTTAGCATTAATCTTCGAGTGTGTCTATGAAAATACTATTTTTTCTTAAACAAGTTCATTAAGGATAGAGTGAATAGAGCTGTCGAGACAGGTACGCCCATTTACAGTCTCTTGCTTCTTTTTTTAATTAACATTAAATTTTCATACAATTCTTGAAGCTGTTTAGGAAACTCACTAATGGTTCTCAAAGATTTCTGGTCTCTATAATGATATGAGAAGGTATAGAGGCCACGAGGATGGACCTCTCCTACTTGATTTCTCTCAGCATCGCGAATAGAAGAGAATCGTGCCACTTTCGTTTGGGCGCAAAATCGATAGACGTGCACATTGCATGAGTCTCATCCGTATTACTTGCTAAACTTGTTGATAAAAATAGCAATGAATGTGTTAGCAACTGTACTTTAGAGATGAGTAAAGTATTTGCTAAGTGCAATGTTATAAAATGTCAAAAACATGTGAGATTTAATGTGAATTTCATGATCATATTTACTCATCATTCTTTCATTCGAGAACATATTCATACATTCTTAAGGATATCTAAAGTTGCATCATGATGATTGAAAGTTTTGATATCGTGTATTTTACTCTAGCTCATTGTTGTTATAATAGTAGTTACTTGTCAATTTACTTTTCAAGGTCATTCTCGAATTCATTCTATGTAATTCTGTGTAACGAATGTTCTAACTTAAAAGTAAATTTGAATTTGTTCATTTTAAAACGATTGTTTTCTCATATTTAATAGTATTGAATATTTTATCACTTCAAAATGAATGCCTCTTAGTTCCATTGTTAGTAAAGTTCATTTAATTCTGACGAGAAATTCATCAAAAGTTACTAGTTAACCTAGTCAAATTTCATGAATAGCTATAATTTAAAACTATTTCAAATTTCTACTTATTATCGAAAAATTAGTTTCTAGAATTATAGATATTTATGTGATGATATATGAATTAAATTATCACTCTCCAATAAAAGCAATAGAGATTTTCAATGCAAACAAACCTGTGCAATAAACCAATTTCTTAGAATTGACTTTTAGATATAGATTCCATAAAATCATAAATTATATAGCCCAAACTAATACTACTAAATGCTCATAAAATAACTTAATTGTGTTCTAAAAATAGCTAAGTCATGTGTAAATCGCTATTAAACTGAACAAAATTAATGAAAGTCTTGAGTAAACTTCACATAATTTGAATAGAAATGATATTATTTTTTTTTTTCAGAATTTCATACTGGTTCTTTTTGCCGAGAGCAGCTGAAGAAAGTTGAAAAGAAATTGATTATAGTGAAGTTTAAGTTGTCGTGCGATGACTAGATCAAGGACCAGTAGTACAGGATAGACGCCAACAAGTTTCTGATGCTGTGACCCACGTTGAATGTGGAGTACGATCTCGCGCTTGTTCGCCAAGCCAAGGTCGTCGGTTAGAACACCGGAACCGGGTGAGGAAGCCGCAGAGGAAAGCAGTCATCAGGATCCTAAGTGTAAGATTAAAAACGGCGAGCCTCTGGCCGACTTGGCTGTCCATGTTTTCGAATCGATGGACTTTAACATGGGAGATGATCGACGTAAGGGTCCAGGCGACCAGCAGTCACATGCTGGTGATTCTGAACACTTTTCTGAGGCTTATGATGCTAAACAGGTAACTTAAATATTATTTTTTATTCATTTTAATCTAGTGCTTGTGACTAAAGGTTCAAGGGTAAGCTTTAGCTTCTTCAACAACAGACTCGTCGTCCGGGAGTGAAAGATCGTGAGTGGAATTGCTCGTACACATGCATAAAAATCATATTCATGCTGTTGAAACGTAATCGTGAGCCTCAACGAGTCTTCACTAACGTATATGGTGTAGACTTCCTGCTAGCAAGGTTATTTATTTAGCTTGCGACTTCGTGCATACACATGTATCCATTGATGGGTGTGATGAAATTATCTACATGCTACCATTGTGTCATTGCCATTCTTGGATATATTTACACGCTTGTATTAACACAGGACATGTAATGTACCTGTAATTCAATATTTGATCATATTATCTTCATTCGAGTAAGCAATACGCAATTTTTTGATTAATGACTTTGTTTAATAACGTTATCACGCTTTCGTAAATCCCAGACATTTGTAATCCTGTTTATAAAATTTTGTGTAATGCTCATTCTATAATTCTGTGTCAACACAAATTGATTTTCAATCATTTCATTTATTTATAGTATTTTCAAGTCAGTATAAATACTGGGAGAAGTTTTTTATTTCATTTTTTGTAGATGCTACTTTTTTCTTTATTCTTGTTTTTGTTCATAAGATTAAAATCTGCTTCTCAATTTGATCAGCAATTTTTCTTTTAATATTTTTCAAATCATCTAGTGCATTAAATTTATCATCAATGATTTGATTTGAGTAAAAAAGTATGTTAGTAGACTTTTATAATTCTCAAATACTCATTCAATTTTTTATAAATCCTCTTTTGAGGTGTCGCAATGAGCAATCGATAGTTGTCATGACCTCGTTATGAAGAAGGGTATTTGGCTCCTGTCCAGTTGAAATCAACATAATCCTCGAGGAGAACACTAATAAGTATATAAAAGCTGAATGAAAAGAAGAAAGAAATTGTAAAAAGGAGGAAATAAGGGTCTTGCTAGTAGAAGCATTTGCTCATTAAAGAAATCCATGACAAAGAAGTGTTTTCAGTAATTTATGATTTGTTAATTTGACTAGAATAATTAATTAAATTTTTTTAGTCATTCAATAGTGGTTTGTGTGTTAGTTGAAGAGTTCAATTCCTGTTTTCGTGTTGAATTGTAATTCATTGCCAGTCCTCTGTCGAAATTAAATGTAGATAGATGACAGTAAAAATGAGTAGGTAGTATTTTACAAAAGCAGGATGGCGAACATATATGTATAATATTTTTCATTTTATTTCCAATTAATAACATAGATCTTTTGTTCAATTTTTATTGAAAAATGATGTGATTAAAAATTTTATATATAGTTTTACTGTGCCATTTTCAATAAATCTAAATTTTATTCATAGCTTATAGTTGAAATATTGTAACAATAGAAAATATCGACAATCAATACAAGCGTTCATAGTTCATTCAAACAATAGATTCGACAAAGAAAAACTAATTTATAATCACGTGTTCTTGTTACTTTTTTACTCATACTTACAGCACAATAAAAATCATTTAGACTGCAGAGTAATTTTAAAGTTAAAGGAGGTTCAGTGAGAAATAAATTGTAGACAGACTCATTGACAAAATTGTCAATTAAATAATGAATTAATCTATCAATAATTAATTAATTTCATTAAAGTATTGATGTCTTAAATCGACAAAGTTTTAATTGATTTTAGGTTAAACACTGTGTTCAATTATTCCATATGTATCAACCAAAAGATTTGGTAGATTTGAAAAATAGTCATTTAACTAAAAATTTATTGGTTGCTATTAAGTCTTTATTAGATAAATAAATATATAAAAGTTTATTTGAAATAAAACAATTTCATATTGATGACTTAGAAGTTCAGATCATACTAGTTATAATGAAATAATTTGATAAATTACTGCTAATTATAAACATTTTAAAATTACATTATATTAATATGAAAATCTAACATTACCATTAATGACTCTTAAAAGTTTTAGAATTTAATTTCTTATTAGTAAGTGTTAAGTTTTATATTTGATTTTAATGCTTAAATTAATCTAAAAAGTAAACTCTAAAGTAGCTATAAAAAGATAAGGTTCAATATTTGCAAAAAAAAAACTATTTTATCATGAATTTGTTTTTATAATACTACTTTAGCTGTTGATTCATGTCTGAGTATTGGTAGTTTATTCTTATAACGAGGAAAAATATTTTTTAACCTCATCAAAATAATTTAATGATGTGATTCATTGATGAATTAGCTTTAAAAATAGTATTACAAATTCTTCATCATTTTTTTCTCACATTTCTCTTCCTTTACCTAAAAAGGGTAACATCGATTGCAGTTCAATATTTTAATCATTACAAACTCAGGTTGGAGTACATGTTTGAAAGAATGATTCATCTGGCTTCTTGCCATGCTATTCCACATAATTTACGCTTTCATTGATCGTCGACTGAATGATTCATACTCACGTATCAACTTATTCAATTTTTTTTATCGTAAAATCGTACACTGTAAGCCACAAGATAAATACTTCAGTGAGAAATGTCATGTTTATTGTTTTTTTCTTTTTTCAATTCTACTTTTATTGGCGTTTGTAAAAATTTAATATAGTGAAAATTAATTCGACGTTCACGTGACACAAAAATTTATGGGTTAGCATACGGAGTCCAATTTATCAGCTGATTCAGCACACTGTTGTTTGCTTGGGTATCAAGCCTCAACTGGCACGTTCTCTAGAGCATCGTCTCCCTCCTTTCTTATGTCTCCTCCATCACTTTTTCTCCCGTAAGTCGTTTCCTAAGCAGGAGCCACTATTGTATTGGCAGTATGTTCAGTTCTTCCTCACCTTTCATTAAGTTCTGTCTTTTAAATCAAGTCCAATGATGTATTTTTGAGTTCTTATCAGTGCTACTGGTTATTAATACCAAATAGTAATTTCATTTAATAATTTATTGGATCTTTTCTACTAAAATCAGTTGGTGGACTTGGTGGTGAATTTAATTTCCTTTAAAAAAAAAATATCAAAATTGGTAAACATGTGGGAAGAGTGTTGTGATGTAAATCATTGTGATAAAAGGCAAGCAAAATCATTTTAGAGGCAAACAGGATTTATTAATCATTCATATGAGGATTAAAAATTTTATTTAAATGGCAAGTGAAGTTATGCTTGCTTTGAGGACGACGCCAACGGCGTCATGCGAACCAGACATTGACGATGTCAGGGATTTATTCAGGAATGCTTCCGTCACAACCATTTATGTGAGTGCACTTGATTAATCTGCCATAAATTTCCAGCCTACATATTTTTCTTTAGTTTTATTTATTCACTTAAAAAAAGTTTGCTTCCTTCTTTGATTATTTTCTGCTCCAATGTAAGGCTGAAGCTTGTGGATCATCTACAAGCATTGTAACAGAAAAAGGTGAATAATTGAAAGATCTTTTGAAACTTAAACCGTGAAAGAGTTTACTACTTCCTTGGTTTCTTTTCTTTCATCTTACGTTTTTAGTATTTTTTAAAGTTTTTGTTTGTTTCTTATTTGATGAAATTCCTATAAATTTCTTTCTTTTATATTCTATTTCAAAGACTAAATTTCTACTCAAGTCATTGTGTAGTGACCAAGAATGGGAATGTCAAGGTGGGATTGTCATTGTAGATCGGTCACGTGCAAAAATATAAAACTTGTGAGCAAGAGATACTTGATACCTTATTAGAAGAGTTGCTGGACTCGTTTAATCTCCCTGAGAATTAGCTTCGGGTATTATTCATTCTTTCGTCATCTGTTTGGATTAGAATAGTCCAATTAATCATTATTAGAGAGGTAAAGTTGTCTTAAAAATCTATCAAACTCATTTGAATATTTTTTGCAACTAATTAATTCATCATGAGTAAATCCACCATCTTTACTGATTCTTTTGATACTGAATTTTGATTAGTGTAACTTTTTTTATCATAAAGTAAGATGCCTAGACCATTGAAACTTTATCCACAAAGAATTTTAGATAGTGCTGTTATTTGTGGCTAATCTAGAATTCCATCTAGAGAAATTTGCAACGTTTAGAGTAAAATTACAATCACGTTGATACAAAGAAAATTTATTAATCAGCACACAAAAGCTATTATAGTGATCTTAGAGTTTAAAAAGGCATACGATTCACATCAAGAGTGTCCATAATGTTCAAGTATTTAATTATTTAAAGTAAAATACGTGAGAACATTGTTCTGAAACTGGAAACGATGCAATTCGATGCACATTCGTAGAAATAAAATTACTGTACAATTTCTGGAATTAAAAATGAGCTTTGGTTAACAGGCAATCTCCTTTTTAAGAATAGGTCAAGCTGGAAAAATTTTAATAAAATTAAGTGAAATAATAATAATAATCAAATCATTATTCACATAATTTTATTTATTGAATTATACTTTTCTTTCGTTACGAAATTAAGTCTAGAATAAATGGAGAAACGAAGCGTGGGTGAGTCTTCACAGGGCCATTCTTTACTGGGTTTGGGTGAGCCTTAACTTCCGGCAGATAAATACTCGCCCAAGGAGAAACGTAATTGTCAATATTACGTTGCTTGAATGTATCTTATGTTTTATATCATTGTTTCTTATTTTAAATCTTGAAAAAATATTCATTCTTTCATGTTGTCTTTAAAATATCTATTAATGGTTTCATTATAAAAACAGATATTTTGAAGTATTAGTTTCGTTGATGGATTATATGTCATCAGGTTTTACTATCAACAATTGAATTCAATCAATCTTAAAATATTTCAATATCGAATAAATTTTCATTAATGAATGAAGCATTTGTGAAAGATAACAAAATGTTTAAAAATCATTGATAATATTTTTTTTTTAATATTAATATAGAAAATAATGAATGTTTTCAAAGAATTTTTTTCAATATATGAATGAATGTATAGAATATTTCTCATTAAAAATAATTTTCTAATTAGTGATGAGCAATTTAATCAATTAAATCACT